CTGTAACCTGTAATTGAAAAATAAAATAAAAAATACATACAACTTCAGAATTAAAATTTAAAAAATGCAATGATAAAAATTTCAAAGACAACTACAAAATATGGTATAATTTGGCTAGAATAATATGTGTTTAAGTTCTCTTTACTAAACTGAAATATCCACACCATACATTAAAAATTTGATCCAATCTGATCATTAACATAATATGGTTCATGCATTTATCAATTGATCAATTCAGCAAACATTAATCAAATCCTTATTATGTTCAAGGCACATATTAGGCAGTGTGGAGGATTCATGTTTGTATATAAAATGTAGACAATTTGTCAACCATATAATACCTACAAGAAAAATACAAAAATAGGAAGTTTTTTGTTTATTTGTTTTTAATCATAGTTGGCATTCACTATTTTATTAGTTCAGGTGGACAACATGGTGACTGGACATTTATATATACCTTATAAAGCAATTATCTTGATAAGTCTAGTATTCATCTGACACCATACACAGTTATTGGAGTGTTATTGGCTATCTTCCATATGCTGTGCTTTACATCCAGTGACTATTTTTATAATTGGCAATGTGTACTCTTTAATAAAGGGGAAATTTTTAAAGAAAACCTTTTAAAGAAAATTTTTAAAGAATTAAATCTCAATAGCTCTTTTTATTGAAATTAAAATATTACTAGTTGCAAACTAAATGCAGTAGCCATAGTTAGAGGCAAACTGGTTTACAACAATTAAACACACAAGACCATATTCTTCTTAGTCCCTCTTAGGGTTAGCGAAAAAGTTTTATCAAAAAAAGTGGAAATAAGGTGAATTCAACATACTGTGACTTAATTAAATTCAACAGATATGTTTCAAAAGTTTGCAACAGGTGAGCTTCAAAGGAAAAACCACTGAGCATGAACCTGTGTTTTAAATAAGATCTAACTTGAAGATATTAGCATATTACCTGATTTTTTTCAAAGTGGAATTTCAGAGACAGAATTGAAAAAAAAAATCTAGTGTAATTTTCTGCTCGATAACTTCTCTTTAAAGAACGAAAGTTGGGAAACTATCGTGAAGAAAATTAATACATGACTAAGCCCCATATTGAAGTGTCCCCCTCACATCTCAAATCTCTAAAAATGATGCAAAAATGTTTAAAATGCAGAACTATGCTGAAAAGCAAGAAAGCATATTGTTGGTGGATAAGAAACTATGAGGAACCTCTGAACAAGAAAAAGCAGGGAAATAGGATTAAAGAAAAACAGCACAGCTCCAAATGAATACATGGTACATGTTAGACAAAATAGGAGAGGCTCTAGGCCCACCCAAGGCTGAAGGGACAAACTGCAAGGCAGAGTAGAGCCCCACCTAGGCCAAGCTACAGGGTCATTGGTTAACAGCAGGAGGAATAAACTTCCTACGTCCCACCCCTACCTTCCCACCGTGGATGCATATCCAACAACAGCTGTAGCTACCTCCAAGTAGAAGCAATGAGAGTGAGAACTTGACAGGAGAAAATCAGTCACACTAGACACTGTGACAACCTAGAGATGTAGTGAGCCCCAATGTGGAAGAGGCATTTCAATCACAATAACCTATCACTGGAGATTGCAGAAATTAAAAATTGATTGCTGGAAGAGAAAAATTCAGTAGCTGCAAAAATAGCTGAAGGGCAAAGTAGTAAGGAAGCCAATTCTCCCATAATGCAGCACAAAAGAACAAGCAGATGGAAAGTATTACAGAAAGAGTGAGAGGTATGAAGGGAGGAGCCAGAAACATAAATATTCACCTAAATAAATTAGAAAATTCTTCCAGAACTAAAGACGGGAACACTCAAACTGAAAGAGTATGCTGCATATCAACCAGAATAAATTTTTAAGCACACACACACACCCCTAGCTACATTGTGGTAAAATTTAAGAATAATATGGATTAGGAGAAACTTTTTGAAGCTTCTAGAACAAAAGCAGAGGTTACCTATCAAGAAATAAGCAGCAGGTTGGCCTCAAGCTTTTCATCAGTAACACTGAAATACAAGGAAATATGGCATAATATCTGCAAAATTCAAATAAGTTATTTTGAGTCTAGAATTTTACACTCAGCCAATACCACTGACTGAAAAAAATACAGGCTGATTTTCCACCAGGCAAGAACGTGACAATTTTGTTTTTCAAATTTCCCTGAAAAAAATACTAGAGAATATAGAGAATACACTACAGCAAAAAGCAAAACCACTCCAAGATGAAGTAGTAAGATACAAAAATTAGTGATACACACACACACACACAAATTAGTAAATCTGCCCAAAAATCAAGTAACAATCTAAAAATAAAATCCCAGATGAAAACAACATGAGAGGTGGGAGGAGGAAATAAAGAGAAGTAAAGCATCTTGTCTTGTGAAGCGTTAGCTCTAGATACTTACAGAAAATGTTTCAATATGTGTGGTATTTTGTCATTATACAGTTACAAAAACAAATATAATTTATAACTTTCAAAGAATTAAGAAAAACTGAAACAAAGAATATTATCAGTGGAAGAAAAAGAAAGAAAAGGAACACTATATAAAGGTTATAAATAGGTAATTCACCAAAGACTAAACATAATGTCCAGTAAATATAGAAGATAATTAATAGTAAACAGTAAAATGCAAACTAAAACGCAATTGCATATCATTCTTTAGAGAGGCAAAAATACATTTGCTAATATCAAGATATATTTTCTGGAGTGGTTATAAATTGGTACAACCATTTTTAAAGTGCAAACCATATAAACCAAAAAATCTGCTTCCTACTATGTTCTCTATAAAAATTTTTGCATCTGTACATATGCTTATTGAAACATTTTTCTAGCAATGAAAAATGAGAAATATGCTAAGTGTCTATCAATATGGGAGATTTAATGTAATTAAGATTTATTCTGCCATGAATACCATGCAATGATTAAAAAGAATATGATAGATCTATGACTACTGACCTGCAATGGTCACAAACAAATAAAAGACAAGCTTTATGTGTAATATAGGAAGCTGTTTTTATAACAAAATGTATCAATATGATTTGTGCAATTATAAATAAGGAAAGAACACCTGAAAAAAAATAAAATAGGAAGAATATGAAAGTGGTAGAAAAAGGAGTCTATCAATTCTCCTTTTATAATGTTACCTTTTGAAAAGCCTTGTTGACATTGAAATTATTTGTGAATGCTACCATGAATGTTACAAATCCTAACCAATCAATCAAGCACATGCCTTCTGACAGGGGAGTCAACGTCTCACTCTCATACACACAATGCATTGACTACAAATAAAAAATTATTGAAAATTGACAAATTTACCAGGAAAAATTAGGACCAGATCACTGCTACCGGTCCCCTACTGCAATCACAATGGTCTATCAACAACACATACAGTGAGGTGCATTATCCGGATGCTGCCAAGACAACGTGACCAAAGATTACAATTAGAAAAATAGAATTGGTTTCAGGCAAGGGCAGAGCAGACGTCTCTTAAGAGGCAGTTTGTGAAATCGGAGCAGGAGTCAGGTGCTTTCTCTTTTTTGCTCTCAGTGGTTGCTGAAACAGTGTGGTCACAACAGCCACAGGGACTTGGGAGCTGGCCAAGAGGCCAGGTGACTCAACACTGGATTGCTTGTCCCTCAAGGCAATTTCTCTCAGCGGTGCAAATTTATACAGAACAGAGAACAGTTACCTACTTATCAATCAGGAAAAGATATATATTAAAAGGTGGGGTTTTTTTTTTCAGTGTTGGCTAGCAAAGAAAGCTGAGGGAAGCTGGCAAGGGAGCACAGCCTGATTCCCCCATCATGAAGACAACGATCTCTGGTTATGACAGAAAAATCTGTGGGAAGGGTAACAGCTATCTTTTAAGCCTCTACAGGGTTAAGAAACAAACACTTAATCTTTCTTTTTATTACATTCTCATTAAAAATAAGCAACAGCTATATCTTTCTTAAATGAAAACTGACCCCAAGCAATGGGGTCCTCTGAAAACAAAGAATAGGGTGTTTATGGTTAATATGAAGATTCCTCACAGCCAAGAACCAGGTGCTACATGGCTTTCTGCTGAGTTACCAGCCACTAGACCAGAAGATTAAGTACTATTGTGAACTGATTATTTGGATGACTAAGTGATTAAAATTTTAACAGAGGAATAATATAAATATGTGAGTATTATAGAGGCATGTCACAGAAGCCCTTAGTGGTAAGATCCTACCAGGCACGCTTTGATTCCCCTTCCCTATAAACACACTGGCCCTCACAGAGAGCTGTGTTTTTATCATATGGTGCCCTTTTAAATTCTGGAGGTGCAAATGCTGAGGAGAGAAGTGCGGACAAGAGTAAAGGAGCAGACTGTAAACCCAGACATGGGGAAAAGCACGTGTAAGGGCAGATCTATGGAGTTCCATCAAGAGACACAGACATTTGGCAGCAAGACAAGTTGAAGGGAATGTGCTGGATTGAACTACATTTTCTTGTGCTGCCAGGACACTTTATCACCTTGAGATACTTTCCTCTCCATGGCCTGGGTGCCAACCAAGTATATATGTGGCCAGTGGAGTACCACACTCTCAGCAGATATGTTTTGGATGGATGCATGCATGCACGCATGGATAAATGGATGGGAAGATGGGTGGATAAATGGATGGGTGGGTGGATGGATGGGTGCATGGATGGATAAATGGCTGCATCAATAGATGTGTGGATGCATGGATGGACAAATAAACAAAGGATTAAAGTGTGTACTTTTTTCTCCATGTACTTTAAAGTCAACATTCAAAATTAATATTCTATTTGCAAAAAATGTTCAGCAAAGTTGTTCCCAGCTGATTTCTCCACACTGTACACAAATGTTGCTCAACTGACTGGAGACAGCGACAGGATACTGTATAAAATCTGGGTAGTAGTAATCTTCCCAGACTCTCTACCACACCAAGTCAATTAGAATAATTAATAGCAACTAGAACTCATTAACTTAAAAGTAAATTACCACAATTGGGTATCTGCAGGTTTGCCAGGGGGATATTCTTGCTGCTTTCATTTAGGCAGTACAGATCCTGAGTTTCTGGACTGGATTTAGTCTCCTGAAAAGTCTTGATCCACATAATATCACAGGAGCACATGAATGGATTGCCCACCAAGATCCTACATGGAACAAAAATAAAACCTGGTCAGGCTTCTCTTTTTTATTTTTAACAACATTCATGTTCATGAAGCACTACAAAATTATAAATTCTTTCTAGCCAGCAATCTTTGAAAGCCATACCCATCTTTACAGTATCATAGTACTTATGCATTAATTTAATACTTACCGACCTTCTGCTACATGCAAACACGACTGTAAAGGCTAAATGATGCAAAATGAAGACCTTTCAGAATAATAGGGATGAAAGATAGGGATGGAAATAGCTATAATGTAGGATAGAAGAGGGTGTCTCATAAAATGGGGGGGAAAAATAAGGTGCCATAACAAATTAACCACAGTTATCATACAGCTATTAAGAAGATCTAAGTGAAGATGCCGACAGTAAGTTTTCAGGAATACTAGCATACTTATTTCTGGTCAGGCTAGAGATTGAAGTGTTATCATTTAAGAAGCTCAAACTTCAGTCGGGGACAGAGCAATGTCATTTGAATTTAAAATGAGGCTGTAAATAAAATGCTAAGACTGAAGTAGGAGAGCTCATCAGGGGGCGCTCACAGCTTTCTGCAACCACAGTTCAGTTTGATTGACGAAAGAACGTTGGAGTGAACGTGAGAAAGAATCTGGAAGGGAGCTCGAAGACCTCTGGCGTGCATGTGCACACATGCTCAGAAGTTTAGAGAGCAAGGGCAAGTGAGCTCCAGACTGAGCCTCTCAGTCCACTGTGAGAGAGTCTGCTGAGATAAAGCCACCATTCAGCCATGCTGCCTGGACTTTTGTGGCCTGCAACTGGTGAAAGAGGAAGTAGGCAAAAGGAAAATAAAAACCGCAAGAAAAAAAATCTTTAAATGCTTATTTATAATACCCAGTGGCCCATTTAAGATGAATTCCATTTATGGTAATGAGCCTTTAAATGAGGCCATTTAAAATCGCTACATAGGCTCTGCCTGGGATTAACCACAATACTTAAGATTTCTGTGAGGACAGGACCTGGGCTTTGCAACATCATTTACTCCTGTGGTTTTCTGGTTGGGTTCTAAGAATCTCAGGGATCCCTGGAGACTTTTATGGGAGTTTCTTTGGGGGAAATGTGGTCATGGCAGACTCATTTAATTTGTGTCCGCTTGATGGCCTCCAAGTATCCCTCCAAAACCAAAATAAGATTTGATGCTATCAGATATGGAATATGTAGAAGAGATCCACAATGTTCAAGCCCCACTAATCCAAGATATTTCCTGGCATTCTGAGTACAGGAAAGACTAAAGAATCTTTCTGAAAAGAAAGGCTGATTGAATCCACAGAGGGGATAAAAGAAGCAAGAGGTTCTTCAATTATATGTGTAGCAATGTTCCTATGACCACACAGTGCTGGCAGACAATTGGCTTCTTCCTCTAGCTCACTGTGCAAACCCCTTTTGCAGTGATTGTTATTATGCTTATTTGTTTAGGCTACTACCTCTTGCACCGGAGAGCAGAATCCTGGAACACAAACACAGTTCCTACATCGCCAGGGCCTAGTGCCATGATACTGTGATTTGTAACAGAATATGATTAACATTTTTTGAATGAATTGATTAAATATGTTGCAGGGACAATACTGAGACATGAGAATTTGGAATCAGAACTCTAATTTTTAACCCACCAAGAAAATTTTCTGCAATGATGCTTAAATTTTTACAGAGTTTCTTACTCTATTTCACATATACTCCTTAAGTTTTTAGAGTCTATTCCTGTGTTAGAGGTAAACCTAGTACTCCAACCACCTGAATTCAGTTTATTCCAGATAATTGCCAATCACTAAGACTTTCACCATGTAACCCTCATTACCAACTATTAGTTTGTTGTCGCTCCACTAGTGACATCTTCTAATCTGCACAATTTCCTTGTGAATGGGGTGACCCTACAACTCAGGCAACGTACAGTTTAAGCAAAAATTTTGCCTGGTATTCCAAGACCTTGTCCATCTGGGCCCACCTCTGCCACACAAAGCCTCTGCTTTCGGGTTCTTCAGACCCCCTAGCCATAGGAATGCAAAAAGTTTATATGTGCTGCAGGGTGGTAACACAAAAATTGAACACACTTGGAAATGCTGGCTATTAGTCATCAATACATTTCAATATTTTTCCTATCACTTTATAGCAAAAGAAATTGGGGCATAAGAATGAGTGTTGAATGTGGTGGCAGACCTAGAAGAAAATCTTACAAGGATGGGTAGGGAAGGAGAAGGTCTATCCACCCTCCAGTGTTCACTAAGCACCAGTGGGGGTGGTTGGTGGATAAAAGCTGGGGTCTTTTGCCCACTGGTATTTTCTCCTTTAAGGGGTTTGCATTCCGTTAGGGCCTGGATATCACAGGGACCAAACAGATGTTATGAGACATGTCATCAGTTTCACACAAAGCCTCCATCTTTTTCTTTTCTCGTCATTAGAAAATAACCCATTTATGTAAAAACAATACTTAAATGCATCATAAATGATATATTACTACTGAGGCATCTATTTTTATTGCTGAATCATGTCTTCATGAGGAGAAAAAAAAAATTAACCAAAACTTGAGAAATCATTTTTCAAGAATTTTGGCATAAAAATAGACCTGCAGCATCACTCATTTTAAAAAAATACTTAATTGCCCTTTTCCTTGAAGTCGTTTTCCTGAAATCGTTTCCCCAAACACAAAATCATTACTTACAGCTCAGACAAGTCAAGGTGACGAAAATGTTTCCTAGACAAACTTGTCAGTTTATTTCGGGTAAAATTGCTGAAAGAGATAAAAAATATTAAATGTGAATCTAAAATGACACATTTCAAAATAAAGTATTCAAATAAAGATGTTTTTCACAATATAATTTTATTTGATCATGGTCCATGCCTTACTTAGACCCAATAATCTCTTTCTTTTACCTGGAGTAATAGCTTAGTTTTCCCTGACTCTCCTGTAATTTTTGCCCATGGAGGGAGGTGCATAAAATTTTCATATTGTTTACTTTAAATCTCTTTTTTAACCCAAAGACTTATTTTTCATATGCCGATTCAGAGACAAATCATATACCTCCTGGAGATTTCTGCTCTTTAAACAATTAATAGAAAGATTAAATTTAATTTAATTTAAAACCATAAACTCACCAGGGAGAAAAGATGCTTTAAAACTAAAGAGCATCATGAATATTTTGAAGTCATGTGACATACAAAACTCCGAATATGACCTGGACTTAACACATCCTTCTAAGAAAGAACACACCAGTTGACTGATAAATTCTGCTGAGATTGTTTATCTGTGACATCTACATAGCCCGCTAACACCACAATGAGAACAACAACAAAGAATCAGATAACGAGAACTATGTCAGATTTTCCCTTGAACTAACTTTAGCAACATGTCATTTTAAGATTTGGACCAATCAATGATAAGGTATCATATCTGTGATTGAAAAAATAATACTGAATTGTCTGAGATGTTCCAAACATGTTTCAATGGACAGGAGTTTTAGTTTCCAATGATCAATGCCATGAGACCCTGAGTTAGGAAAATCTGAGCCATAATCCTTGCAGCTGACTCCCTCTATGAATCTGTTTATTAGCTGAATTTATTTAAAAACTGTCCAGTGATCGAGCCTCTAGACATGTGTTTAATAAGTAATATAAATATAAAATAAACATCAGCTTTCACAAAAACAACCAAGACCTCAATGAATTGCTATGACTCTTTCAGTACCTGTTTCCTGAGGTGAATGTTGGGCTGAGAGTCAGGTAAGAACAGGAGATCTGAGGGTGACAATAACGCTGGACCCTTACCTGAGGCTAGTCCACTGTGTCAGCCTAACAAAATCATAAATTAACTGTATCTTGGTATGACTGACTTTCAGAAAGATGTTCAACCCAGGAGCTGATACATGAATAAAAAAAATACCCCTTTTGTGCCTCATAATTCAAGAATGTGCATCCATGCCTCACGTTATTCTATAACGACATTTCCACTCACCCAAACTCCTACCTACACCAGGGTGTCCTCTGCCTTCTCCACATGCATCTTCTCTTTTCACACTGAGTGTAGAGTGCTCCCCCACATGAAAAAAATACTCTACACAGAAGCTTAAAAATGTGCCCACATAAATCTTTTCTTTTGGACTGTGAATTAAGAATGGCTTTCATTGGAGTATAATACATTGAAAAGTCAATCTGCCTGTCTTCCCCACAGTCTTAGAGACACAAATATTTTCATTTTCATCAGAAACCCCCTCCTTCTGGGGGTGTGAGGTAGGGGGAACCCACTCCCCCTCCCAAGAAGAACAGGAGACAGGAGCAAAGAAAAGGACACTCGTTGTCAAGGCTCTTGGGTCAGCCAGCGAGCCGGCACCAGGAGCAGCTGCCCCTATCCGGCTGCCAGCAGCGCAGCCCGGAGCCGGGTTACGCGCCAAAGAACAAGATGAGTTTTATGAACCATACTTATTATTAGGGCCAAAAGCCAAAAGCCAAAAAAAAAAAAAAAAAAAAAAGGAGGAGGAGGGGAGGAAAAAAAAAATCAACAATCCTCCTACTGTCTGATTATAGGACTTTGCAAAGGAGCTAATTAGCACCTCTGTAAAGCCCCTGGAAAACACAAAGGCTGGCTTTTCTCACAGTCTCTGGGTTCTAAGGGGCCAGGCAGGAATTAAGGCACCAAGAAATAAACTCAGTGACCAGTCACAGGGGCTCTGGAGAGTCCCCATGCCAATAAACGTGCGCAGGGTGGAGGGGGGAGTGGTGAAAGTGGGAGACAGGAACCAATCTGAATTTCCTTCAAACCCAAAGGGAAATGCTCTGGTGCACATTTTTACACTGTTGGAGAAACTAACAGGGATAATCAGCAAATCCCAGGGACACTGAGAAACAGCTTCTGATACACACTTCTTTCCCAGCTCACTATCACCCACCATGTTGATACTCAATCTAAGGATGCACTTCACTTGTGGGAAACCAGGGCAGAGGAAGCCAGTTGCTCCAAGTCCTTGCTCTTAAGCAAAGGTTGGGACTCAGGTTTGGAAAGAAAGGCAAGCACTTGCCTTGATTCCCTCCTCCTTCCCTGCCATTCTCAAAAACCAACTACTTAATTTCATTCCTTATTTTGGTGATTAGGAGCCCCTTTCGTCACATATATGTATGAGCCTTACTGAAATTTCACGACTTCTTCATAACCATGTGAATACTTGCCTGACTTCATTCTGCCTTACCATGTAACTATGCCTACAAATATCAACAGAGTTTTTGCAGTATGCCCAATGATTGGGCTTCCAGACTATTGGTTTTTAAAGAGAATATATGGGATATATCCACCTCTTTTGTTTTCTATTTTCAAATGGCACCTCTTTGCAAGATAGGGACAGATACCTGTCTTTATGTAAGTTATGCACAACACACAGAATGCCACTAAAATTACTCTACCATATATCGCCCTGAAAAAAAATACATACGGTGACTTTGGTCTCCTAAAACTAGCATTCAACAAGAAAAGCAAGGACAATATAAAAGGTACAATAAAGAAATAAGTAAGTCTATTGATAAAAACTACAATTAACCATAGTCCACTATACAAAAATCACAACAGGGGAAGTAATATAGTAAAAAAGCCAGTAAAATGTGGTCATTGAGTAATTCGGGTCTAAAGTCAGCTGTAATGAAAATACCAGGATTGAACTAATGAGGTCATCAATTACATTTCAGTGATTACATTGGAGCATTTTGCCTTCCTCTTCTCTCCAACTTCGCTCTTGTTTCTGCTGTCAAGGACTACACAAACATCAGATCTGCGCAGGCAAACCAACCACAGACATGATGCCAACAAGCACTGAAGTGAAATATGTTAGTAAAGTTCCTTGGAGTTTTATCACATTTTTGCCAAGGGTTTTTTATCTTAATTCTACAGACTTTATTTTTAAACCAACTTCATCATTAACGGCACCTATAAAATATGAGGCCAACATACTGGCTTTACGAAAGTAAGATTTTTTTATAATATCAAAGAATCTCCATAGAAGAGTCCAGGTAATGTGCTCTAAGAGAACGATTTCTCCTATAACCGGCAGGAAAATCAGTTGGAGAACTAGCCCCTCCCCAAAAAGAAAGAGAACAGATGTTGCAGGAACAGCTGATCTTCAGCTGTAGGGATGGCACAGATGTTATTTCCGGTACCCTTACTGGAAGAACCGGGCCAGGGATGAGCCCTGGAGTCCTAATTCTCTCACCTTCAATCTGTGAGCCTGAGAAAGCCCTACACCTTCTCAGTTTGGTTTTCTGTTCATGAAATGTGAATAAAAAAGATCTTCCCTACCAAGTGTTAGAAAAATCAAACGAGATAATTCAGGTGACGTGAGGCACATAAGGTATTGCTGCAGAGAATTTGCAAAGCACAAAAGGGCCAATGAACGCAGGCAACATTTCTCCAGCAGAAGGTCCCACTGAAAATGAGCACATGGGGACACCGATCTGAGTTTAGGAGTGGCTGATTCTCTGTTTAAGTACAAAACCTTTTAGGAAGGCCACACCTTACTGAGTAAGTACCATCATCTAACACGATATAGCAGCCAGTAACCTAAGACCTTCCATTGCCCCTATTTATTTTCATTTGACTTCATTTGACAAATATTCAACAGGACTTCAAGGGAAGCATTTGCTATTGTTAATAATTGTCTGAAACTTTGGCATGTCCCATAATTGACTTTTCTTCACTTCTGTCAATCATGACAGATAGCATTTTAAAAATGAAGTGCAAAAGAGGATTTATTGAGGAGGGCAAGGCATTAGTAATTTTTAGTTCCCTGGAAAGGCCATGGCCAAGTCAGTCTCTTTCAATTCCACTGGTTCAGTGTCTCTAGAGGACATCATGATTCCAAGGAAATGAACCAAGGACGTTGTACCAGGACATAGTTTTCACATCAGACTCTTGCCACTGGCCTATTGTTCTGTCCAAGATGGAAACGGCCCAGAAATTCATGAAAGGGAATAAATAGGCTGTTATAATACCCCTCTGAAGCTATTCAGAAATCAAAGATAATGTTTCTAAGCTTGTCAGAGCTATACTAACTTTAAAAAAAAGGGAATTAGAGTTGGGGGGAAAAATAAACAGAGGGGGTGGAAATACTGCCTAAGTTGGGTCCTGGGAAGCAAAAGAATCAATCTTTACTTACATGTGCTGTAAGTTGCCGTTTTTCAGAAATGCTTTATGAGCCACAAATTTTAATCCGGAATCCACAATTGTCCTATGAAAACACATAATTGCATGCATGTTAAAACTGACAAATGTCACCTAACTAAAAAAAAAAAAAAAAAAATTCTGAGGTAAAGTACACAAGTCCTGAGTACTCACAGATTTTTCAGTCCCGCATAAGCTTCAACATCATCTTCGTTGATGATTTCTAACCTTTTCTGATTTGCAATGTAACTGCAAAAAAAGCAGAGAGTGAAAACCACGGATTCAGAGTGTACACAGTTCATAAAGGAATAGGGAACTTCCGTACAACTTCACCAGGGTTCTCAAGGCGATCTTTCCCCACCCAACCTAACCCTACCATTAAAAAACAAACAAACAAACAAACAACTACAGCTAGGGGAGTAAAACTGAGTGTGACTGAGGACAAACCAGGGTTGAGCAGGTGTCATCATCAATAACAGCTTTACCAGGCTGCATTTGTCTTAGTTTTTTATTACTCTTTCAACTAACACTTTCAGTTTTCCTCTCCTTTCATGGTATCCCCTGTGCACAGAGGTGAAAATAACTTGGTAATGCATTCACTGCCTCTCAAAGGTAGTTCACCCTTATGGTGATCGCCACAGGGATGCTGGCATCATCACACCTTTGCTCACATTCCAGGAGGAGCAATCACTCCCTCCTTTCACCTCTTAAAACAAAGAAGCAGATTCCCTCCCCTTTTCTCTCTCTTCCTCCCTCCGACCTTTCCTCCCCACTTTCTCTTCCCCTGGCCCAGCATCCCTCTTTCTGCCTTTGTTACTGATAGTACCAAGTTTTCCTTTCAGGAAGCACATCTCACAAACCCCACATGGCCGTAGCACACTCTCTGTAGGAACCCTCGTCTGCCCCTACCCCACAAACCCTCAAATATAGAAATAAGCTGGTGACTCTGGCTGGACAGAGAATTCTGTCCCCTTGACCATGATGACTAGCTTAGAGTTGGGCATCTAACCTCAACCAGACCAATGAGAATCTTCCCTACAACTAAACGCATGAATGCTGGAACAGAAGGAGTCTCTCTCTTTCTCTCTCTCTCTCTCCCCCTGCCCCCTCCCCTTTCTAAAAACCAATAAACATCCTTAGGTGAGGATGAATTAAAAATAAATAAATAAATATAGAAGGCATAGAAGAAAGAAAAGCAAGGGCAGAGACATCAATGGAGCTGGGAATTAGGTTCTAAAATGTGTATACTTGTTAGAAAAAAGCCACAAGCTTATTTCTAGGCTGTCTAGTCACCAAAGCCCAAGAAGAAAAGGAATGGGAAATAAATTTGGTCAGTGGTTATTTCACAGTGTTCATGAGATAAAAATAAATCAGACATTAAGCAAAGCATAACTGTTCCTGGATCTAAGACTGGATAGCCAATTTTGTGGAAAACCATCAAAAGAACCGTATAAAATTATGAAAAAAAAAAATGGTCACTAGAGAATACTCTTCCACTGTGGAGACAGAAATTTTCTAAATAAGTAATGAATGTTTCCCCCTTCAAAATGGAAAAATCAACATAAGGACAGGGTTAAAAGGTCAGCAAGTGTCCTCTCAGATGCCAGGAATTCCTCTTTGTGTAAGTTACCATCACAGAGGTGCCACAAGATAGCAGCTGGTTATAAAACGGTCATACTAAGTGAAATAAGCCAGGCAGCAAAAGATAAATACCATATAATCTCACCTTTAAATGGAACATAATGGACAAAACAAACAAGGAAGCAGAATACAACCGGAGACATTGAAATAAAGAACAAACTGACAGTAACTGGAGGGGAGGGGGATAATGGGGGAAAAGAGGGGAAGGGTCGTCAAGGAACATGTATAACGGATACACGGACAAAGCCAAAGTGGGTACGTTCTAGGGTTGGAGGTGGGAGGGTGCGGTGGGCGCAGTGGTGGGGGGAAAATGGAGACAACTGTACTTGAACAACAATAAAAACAATTTGTTCTTGGAAAGAACATAAATAAACCTCAGCCTATTGGACTTAAAAAAATAAATAAAGGCCAAAGTTTGCCCAGACAAAAAAATAATAAAACAGTCATGAAATCTTCCCCCTAAGTAACTCGCCTTAGCTACCATTGGGTAATCGTAGGACTAGAAAGGAAGTCAGTAAAGCTAATACCAGACAATTTGCCACTGAGAAACCTCAAGGGCCAAGAAACATATGAAAAGCTGCTCACCCTACAAGGAATCAGAAATGCAAATTAAATAACAATATATCATTCCTCTCATGCTGGAGTGACAAAATGTTTAAAGATTGACAATGTAAGACATTTCTAAGGATGTGAAAAATTTCTCTTACATTGTTGGAGGGAATATAAATTGGTATAACCACCTTGAACAGCAATTTGCCCATATTCTGGAAAATAATAAATTGGCGTGCTTCATGGCCCAGCAATTCCATTTCGAGGTATTCACTCAAGAGAAATTCTCACACATGCACACAAGAAGACATATACAAGGATATTCACCATATTTACAGTCAGAATCAAAAGTTGAGAACAACCCAAGTGTATCTTGATAAAGAAACTACTCAGCCATATAAAAGAATGAAATATTGCCATTTGCAACAACATGGATGGATCTTGAGTGTATTACAGTAAGTGGAATAAGTCAGATGGAAAAGGATAAAAACCTTATGATTCCATTCATATGTGGAATATAACACAAAAAAAGTAACAAACTAACAAAACAAATAAAATCAAACTCATAAATGGAATGATGGTACCATAGGAGAAGGGAGGTAAGGAAAGGGTGAATGGAGTAAAGGGGGTCAAATATATGGTAACAGAAAGAAACTAGATTTGGGTGGTAAGCACACAATAGAATACACAGATATCAAATTATAAAGTACTCCTGAAGTTTATGTAATGTTATACCAATTTTACCATTATAAATTTAATTTTTTAAAGAAACAAAAAAATTTAAGATGTGTTAAATATGTAAGTGGGATTGAACGAGGTCTTCATATTTCAGAAAAAGAAAACTTCATGTCAAAAGAGAAAAAAATAAGCCCAACTGCATAATATATACATATAATATAAAACAATGTATGCCAACTTTTTAAAAAAATTATTAAATTTATTGGGGTGACATTGGTTAATAAAATTATACAGGTCTCAAGTATATGATTCTGTAATACATGATCTTTATATTGCATTGTCTGTTTACCACCCGAAATCAAATCTCCTGCCACCATGTATTTGACCCCGTCTCATCTACCCTCCTCTTCCTCCCCTCTGGTAATCACCATCCTGTAATCTGTGTCTGTGAGTGTATGTTTGTTTGTCTTATTTTTTTAAATATAAAGAAAACAACCTCATAATGTTCATAATCAAGTGTATATGCAAAGTATGAAAAGATTGCAGGTGAGATCACCTTAGGAAAGACGAATGGGTCTGGGACACGGAACAAATTGTTAAGGTATTTATTTTATTAAACTACTAAACTATTTCTTTTATTAAAGGAGAGAAGACTTGTAACAAAAAAAGACCAAAATGTTAAAGTGTCCATTCTGGATACAATTACGTGAAGTTATTATTATGTCTTTTTTTTTTAATTTTAAAAGTTTATGAAGAGGGGTGGGAGGGAGACAGAGAAAGGCATAGAAGTGAAATGACTGCAAGGAAGCTGAACTCCAGGCCTTCTCAGTTACTCAGAGGAAAAATACACCTGGGTTCGAGTTCTAGTTCCTGGACCATCCAAAAGCAAAAGTCTAAAAGCCTTCTGCTCCCTGTCCTAGAGCCTCTCCACAGGAACCAGAAGATTAAGGAGCATGCTAGGCTGCCCCCTACTGGTGATCTCCGCCTGCCTCCAGGAGAATCTTGACAACACCAGGGCTTCTGCATTCTCCCGGCTCATTGCCACTGCTCAGAGACCCACCCAGGGCCAGGGAGGAGAAGGGAGACCCGGGCCAGGGCAGACAAGCCAAGGAGGCGCCAACAGGCTTTCCCCCCAGAAGCACCATTTCCCTTCACTCCAGTTCCAGTAAACTCTGAGGGCTCTTTCCTGAGTCAAGCTTTGCTGAATAAAATGTATCTCCAAGAATGGTTTCATTCTCAAAGAAGCAATGGGGAGACCCAGCATTTTGGCACAGGGCTTTCTCAAAAGCTTTCTCTCCCTGACAACCCCTAACTCCGCTGCTCTGTGCACCCTGTTCTGGAAAGCTTAGGTCCCAGGGGTTTTAAGACACAAGCCATCCCCTCAGAGCCCATGTCCCAGCACTTGTCTGATAAGAATCTCATAAATTCAGCAGAGTTTGGGTCCTCATGGAAAAGCAAGCTCCTGCCATTCTAACCTGCAGAGGTTTCCTTCATTCTATTTTAGAAAGATAGCACTTTGAATAGTGACAAGGAGACTCTGTGAATTTGGATTTACTTAATTGGATACTCCTGAAGAATTTCTCTCACTTGGCCCCTGGGACTCCCCAGTCCCTCTGGCCCACCCTCCTCCATCAGCAACCTGGATGGAATCATTCTTGGCCATCAACCACCCTGTTTTGCCCTAATATGTCTTCCTCCATTCTCAAATTCATATGTAGGGCTCTAGGTTGGACCTCATATTATTATGAGTGTTGTTTTTCACTTTTACTACATCCCAAGACCACTATCTATTGCCCTGAAAGTCAGATCCCTTATTTAAGGCACTTCTCAGTGAATTCACCTCAATTTATTCTGGAGCCCTGCAAATCTGAAACATTGCTTGATTTCTATGCAACACCCAAAGAAAGTTCTTTCCAATCTCAGCATTTCTATTCCATCATTTGGCAAGCATTTTTTTTAGCATTTATCATACTTCTTAACTTTGTAATTAAGAATTAAAAGAAATGGAGATACTCTTTGTACCCACTTGTATTTTTCTAAGAACCTCTCTGACACCCTAATTGAACAGGTAAGTCTTCAAAGGAAGGGGCTGTATTCATCTCACTTCATGCACTTAGAGGGCTGATTCTCACGAATGCTGGCCGATCAAACAGATTTAAGTATCCTCCACTTGGACTTTTTATTATCCCGCTGGAAAGATCAGACACATGCACCCATGTGCATGAAAGATGCACAATAAATACTAAATGAAAATGGTGACCATAGAAAAGAACTTCACGTATCATATAGAAAACAAGGAAAGACAGTAACAGAGGAGAATGGAGAGCCAGTTTTGAAAGCAAAATGTGTCCAATCTGGGAGTGAATTTAGATCACATGCAC